GCTTCATTCCTCCTTGTCATACGTTGTATGACCCGCCGCGCACGAAGTGCGCGGCTCCCCCTGTATCGTCAGGACGACCGTGGGTGTCACAACGTGATACAAATTCCTCCATAGCTCCATTCTCCAATGAGTATGTTTATAAATATTATAGCTTGTAGCACGATGCGTTACTGTGCCGCGCCGCGCATTCAATTATTGATTATGCTTCTTGCAACGCTAAATCGGTGAAATGCGCTACTGTGCCTCGCCGAGCTGCGATGAATTGACATCGGCAATTAACCTATATTATAGCCTGTGCAGCAACAGTACACGCGCTTTAACCTAACCATGTGCTTTTGCGCCACTGCAGCGTGCAGGCGCGCTCGTTTCACACGGGAGGCGAACGGAGAGGAGTTTAAAGATAAAATAGAGATAAGGATAAAATACATATATAAATAGATAAAGATAGCGATTAGAATATTAAATAGAGATTTTACAGCAATTTTACAAAAATGACACACATGGGCCACCTAATGATATACGTGATAAACCTGCTAGCGCATGTGTATCAAAAATTTTTTTGACACACATACGCTACCTAGGAAGCGCATGTGTATCATTATTTTTTTTGACACACATGCGCTTCCATAATGATGTGTAGCTTATAAAATTGTGGAGTAAAATCAAATATCAATTAAAAATATGTTATTGTATAATAACGTTCAGTTTGCATACAACGTTCAGTTTCAAATTTAGTTTCGGGCACTAATTTGCAATTTCATATTTGAAAGTTTTTGAATTATGCTTTGCAAAATATTGATAGTAGCAAACATTTTTGTTTTGCAGTGGCGCTTTCGCGCTTGCAGTGGCGCGAAAGCACATGGTTAGGTGAACCCTTGCTCCATAAACTTTTTACTAAGCTTGCTACACTTTTTACACCTCTTTTGTAGCTTTATAACCTACCAAGACATGCGCCGAGTTGGACCCGTCGACGGTCTTGTATTTTTGAACAAATATTTTACGAGTATCACCGTTAACATTTCTTTCGTGCACTCACTGCACTCGAAGCGTGCACTCCGGCTTTCTGGGCCGCGCTCAGCCGGCCTGTCATTCCTGATTTTACCTGAGGACCCCAGGCTATTATGTTCATTAACATAAAGAATAAAGATTTGGCGGAATTCCGCCGAATAAAGATTTGGCGGAATTCCGCCGAATAAAGATTTGGCGGAATGACAGGCTGAGCGCGGCCCAGTAATCCTGATTCCGCCTAATCTCTATGATCAATGATTATGAACATAAACATAAAAGCCTGAGGTCCCCAGGTACAAACTCCGTCTGGCCGGAGAGGCCGAAGGCCACCACGTGCTTCGTTATATCACGTCGTGACCCCCATCGTCGTTTCACTATAGTGTAGAGTTTCTACGATACAGGGGGAGCCGCGCACGAGTGCACGGTGGGTCATACAATGTACAACGTATGACAAGCTATAAAGTGCCTTGCACGTGAAAGGGGTTACAACGTGTGTTAACTCTAAGCTAACCAAAGCCCTTTTTGCTTGCGCTTACAGAGGGGTGCATCTCAATGAAACAAGAAATGTTCAATTGTCAATGAAACAAGAAATTTGATTTTAGCACATTTTACAGAATAAAAAGATGTAAAACAATTCATAAAATATAATGCCCATTTGGTGTATGACATTTGGTGTATGACATCTGCAAGTGTAACTTCTTAACGGGTGATACTCGTAAAATATCTGTTCCATATATTGGACCGTCGACGAGTCCAACTCGGCGCGCGTCCTGGTAGGTTGTAAACCTACAAGTAACTTCTTGACGGATAATACCAAATACTCTTCTAAATTTCTTTTGACCATTGTTAATGATCTGGCCCGGCGCGCGCTACTTCGTAGCTCGTGCCATCAACATTTGGAGAAGAAAGCGGCGCGCGCTACTTCGAAGAAATTTAGACGAGTAACATCCGTCAAAAGTTCTTCAAACTCAAAGTAGTGCGCGCCGGGTTACTTCATTATTTTAAGTTTATAACCTACTAGGATTTGCGACGAGTTGGACTCGTCGACGGTTGGAACAAATATTTTACGAGTATCACCCGTTAACTTCATTAACAATGGACAAACAACTTTGCGAGTTTGCTTGAAATATTTTACAGCAACACGTCTTCTGAAATTTCATGCTTTTGTCGAATAGTTCTGATTTCGAACTGCGAACGCGCACGCAAAAAATGGTTACACTTGTTTGATTGCTTTGTGCTCTTATCAGCGATCAGAGCCCCTGTGCACTGTGCTTGGTTTCAACTGTCGGGGACCCTTTTAGAACAATCTCGAAGATCGACTGTAGAGTGATTTAGCACGCTCGCCTTTTATTACCTCTGTCATCACAAAATTCTAAGTGTCCCGTTTTTTCGTCCAACTATGAATGTGATCGTTTTAATTCATAATTGAATTACAAATAAAGCGTATTTTTTTACGAGAAATCTGAATAATTGTATTAGCAGTTTATTCAACATTTCCATTAATATACTGATATACAAATTAAGTAACGTATATGCAATATACGTTTATACTATGTACACATTTGAAACATGTAAATCCAATCTCACAAGCAAAGACAAATCAAATATCATCTTCAAAACTCTGAAAACTCAGAAAAAATCAAACAATTTCAGATCAAATTCGTTTTCCTGAAACAAATTTGTCTATTTATTATATTAATTATATATTAATTATATATTAATTATATATTATGGCATGTGGCAGTGCAATGAACAGGGCCTAAAGTGATTTTTGGGAAAAGAGTAGATTAATGTTTAAGGCTAAGAGGGTTTACTTGTTTCTAGCAGTTGGAAGTTTAAAAATATTGTACAAAACTACTGTAAAATTTTCATAGCAAAGTCAGTAAACATCGATCAGTGATCAATTTAAAGGACCAGTTAACTGAAAAATTTGTAGTCTCCAATTTGGCTAAGATTTAAATCAGCTGTGACAAACTCGTAAAAAATTGTATCGCCGAAAGAACCAACTCTCTAGCTTACGTGTAACGCGTGTTATTGCAATAATAAGCTGTGGCCGCGTGACGTCATAAAGTCCCTCAGTGCGCGCTGGCATAGCGTAATACAATGCACAAATGTTTATCATCGTCAATAAAACACGTGTAACTCACTCAAATTTTAGAGTTATGACTATTTCCCTAGTTCTCCAAAATCCTTATAGTTTTGGCTATCACCCTAACTATATGAATAGCTGATTGGATGTACAGTGCTCACGTCAGGATTTTAAACAGTGACATAAGTTCTTGAACAGTGGCGGGTGAATGTACGGTTAGAAAGTTTCTGCTATTACAAGTTATGTCATATGTGATAATTTTGGATTGTTTTCATTGCTTCATTAAAACGAAGGGAGACTGTACCGATTATTTTTCCCCAGTCCATGAAACTAATACACAAAATAATGTGCTATATATTAAATATAGCTGATCAGAGTGTAACTCTGTAAATGTAATATAATATTACAGTTGTTCGGAAGAATGCGAGCAGTCAAATGGTTCGCTATCCTAAAAGACATAGTTCCGAGAGCAATTATATTTCTAGCATAGCGAAATTTCTTACTTTAATCCACACGTGCCAGACAGTACAGGAGACATGAAGTCTGGCTATTTTACGGCCGTTCCCATCGGACCATCAGTAGAAGTAGCTCCTATCAGAACGGTGCCGTGGGAACTGAAAAATACCCGGTATACGTAATACTGATTGGAGTGTACGGTGAGCGGTGTGTTTTGAATTTGACTTACCTAGTTATCGTCCTACTTGTATGATCATCGGTAGGTACATAACATAAATAAACTACTGGTAAAATTAAATACCAAGTGCAAACGTGTTCAGTCAATCGACCCACTGAACAAATATAGAATTTCCAAGACCCTATTATTCTTTGGCCATATATATTGCGGCACGATTGATTCTTAGATGGCTAAACGACATACGTTAATCTATACAATTCTTAAACTATGAGATAGCACTTTAATCTAGAAATACACTTATTATATTACTCCTGATTTTTACATTTCAATTTTCATGTAAAACATTGTAGCCATAGGTTGATCATGGACACTGACAGCTTAATTTTAGATAATAATGATTTATGAGTTTCTCTAAAGTTAACTCTAAACTAGTGTAGTCCAGTCATTTAAGGACATTTATGGAATTGAACCTGCAAATTTTCGTATACTCACGAAATTTTGCAAAGACCTTCTCAAAAGTATGAATAAACGATTTTCGGTTGGAGACATATTGACCACGCCGATATTGACCCAATAACGTAACCGACCCTTTGCTTCTGAAGGTCGTAGACTTCTAAATAGGCTTAAACGAAGCGGCATATGCATGTTTATATAGGAGTTACTGAGCAACACATGGCCTAAAATCCTTACTCTTCGAGAAATTTGCCAAAAACCATTTTGGGCGTGGTGCTGAGCCCATTTTCGATAGGATCGTGATAGAGTCTTTAGACAGGGTGCAAAAGAACCGCAATTAGCATATTTATATATGACTTACGAAGAAACAGATGCCTTAAAGTGCTTACTTTTTCAGTTATTGGCGAAAAACTGATTTCCGGTTCCAGAAATCATGCAAAAGTATGGGTATCTTGTAAATTGGGCTATGAAGGCCCTACAGATTTTTGAATGATTGCAAATTGTGCAGAATGGCCATGTTTATATACAACTTATGAAGCAACATGTACCCTAAAACACTTATTTTTCGAGTTATTTAGGGGAGAAATATTGTATTATGTCCATTTTTACCTGTAAAATACAGTCTCACGAGCTCTTCTGTGCGCGCAAGGGACTTTATGACGTCATCGCCAAAATAATACAAACGCTAATTACACGCGTTAGAGAGCAGTTAGAGATTTAGGAATTTCGATTCGTTGCTCAGTTTGCTATTTGTCACAATCTGTCAAAATATGAGGATAACTTTTTTTTGAGTTAACTGGTCCTTTAAAAGAAAGCACAAATATAACAAGCGTAATGTTTTCTCTCTTTGGATCATAAATTCAGGATCCTGTTACTTTGTTACATTTAAGTAGCAACGTATCATTACTACTAAGTATTAACCTAATATTTATAATTGAAAATAGCTAGACTTTCTACTTACAACGACAAAGTTACAAACATGCCTTTTGACTCTATATTATAGCTACTACTCTAAAATTTAAATATGTACATTAACTCAAGAAATTTAACGATTTTCTTCATCCAAAACTGCAAAGTCACACTCGCTAAGGTGATATAAAAAATAGTGAACGTCATGACCAGTGGCAGTAGTCTTCAAGTTCAATAATCGAACAAATTCAATCGTCTCAATGTCTGTCTCTTTGTCAACATTTCATGTTTAAGGCAACAAAAATGGTCATCTTAAAACTCATCCGAAAAGTCTTGCTTTTTAATTTCAGTCAGATCACCAAGCTCATCATCTCACTTTAGGAGTTGAGCTAAGAACAGGATCAACCCTCACCAACCCCAGAACTTCCTCGATCTTGTAGTTTAGTTGTCGTATCACGTGGCTAGTGTCACGTGTGTTCTCCTTGTCTGTTACCGCGGCGGTTACGATCCGAGACCAGCTCTGTATCTGAGAGGGGTTATTTGTTAACACTACAGATATCAAGGAATGATGGAATAGTCAGCAAAAATAAAAATTTTTATAAATAGTTGAGAAATGGCGAAAATTAATTCCCCTCGCCGTATTCGTAAACCTTATCAACATCAAAAAATGTTTGAAATAAAATTATAGGACAAACGTAGTAACCAACCTCATTTAGCTTTGGAAATAGGTTTTCAGGTGATGTGACTCCAGAAAGGAGGAATTGCACAGATTCTGTAGCGGAGTCTTGAATCGTAAATACTCTAGAAATATCGTCTTTCTGAAGTAAAATACTCGTTAAATATGTAAAGAAATTCTATTCCCACTATGATGTTATAATAATCAATAATATGTAGTTGAACTGATGAGTGCTGTCGTCAAACAACGAATTGTTTTTTTTAGATCCAATATTTTTGCTATACGGATACCACGCAGTGAATGGTGAATAAACACAAAAATTCAAACCTTAGCCCTGAGAATTGCCGACAACTTGGCCACATTGTCCTTTAGCTTCCTCGGTTGACGAACAGATGGACTAACAGACAGGGTGAGAGTTGAAGAGAGCCCCTCAGTTGTATCATCAATCAGTTGCTGGAGGTAAACCTGAACTCCCAGCAGTAACTTCTCCCGCATTGTTTCAGAGATGTCCCCTGAAAACATTTATGTTAAAACCACCGCCCACATCAATACTTATTTTGACAAGGACCCATTAATTTCAATCCTCTTCTTAATCGAAATTAGGGTGAACAAAACGACAAGTTAACTTCTCAAATACCTTGGCTGGTATCAATGGAGCTTCCAGAAGAGTTGTAATCACTAGTAACGTCCAGGTCTATATTTCTAGGACTGAGAATGCTATGTCTATTAGGAGTGCTGGTAGCTGGTAAGGAGGTCCGTTCAGCTGCTTGACTCTTTCCTGAAAAACATGATAAGATTACGATACTATTCAATTTTAACATGTTTTCGTTCAGAAATCGTATTTTAGAGAGGACTTTTATTCCAAATTAAATTTCAGCGTCCAGAACCTCTAATCTTTGTAGGTACGTGCATATTTAAAATTTGAATTGAAGTGAACAACAGCAGATCATGGGCCCAGGGGCAGACGTTCGTTAAATTTCGTGACCAGTTGTTGCGGCTAGTTACCCAGTCTTAGCTTCAAAATCTCACCAGAGGTTGCGTTAAATTCCCTAATAAAATGTACACTATGATCATCTGTTCATGTTTGTTAACTGTGAACTAGACACGCCCAGCAAATGACCAGGTGGCTAGTGACCTAAGTTACTGGCAGAGAGACTGGATCGTCAAGCTCAGCTCTTTGCTCGGATTTGAGTGTTAATCTCATGAAGTTACGGCACCTCACAGAAATTGTAGCTAAATACATTTTCGTTGACAATAAATTAAGCGTCACAGACATTCAATTTGCAAATTTCCGTTCGATTTTCACTGTTTTTCGATCTGTCTCTCCCTATAATTACGTGGCGATAGACAGCGCAATTTTGGAGACATCTTTATGCGCATCAAACATACAATTTTGGATGGAGATGAAGATATCAAAAAATGCTCAAGGAATTCTAGTTCTTCCTTAACTTCCTAGGATACCCCTTCAGTGCATACTGTAAACATAGTACTATAGGATTGCGATCCAGCTTGAAACTTTATTCATTTGCCAAGATTTACTCTCTTTTGTATTCTATATCGATAGTATTAAAACTTAAAAGTCGCTGCATTATCAACTTGCCATCTGATAATATTAATAATGAACTTTTTGGGGATTGTTCAATATGTGCTTTTCCCAATTATTTTAAAAGGTGACTATATTTTCCGATTTTTTTGATGTTACGCCATAAAAAACGTTTGACCTTATTTTTTATTATAGCGATTTGTTAAAAAACCAACACCATTTCAAGGATGAAAGTTTTAGTCCTGGTTGTTATCGTTGGAGCCGCCTTGGCTGCGAACAACAACAATAACAACAACAATAATAACAACAACAATAACAACAACAATAACAACAACGGCAATAACAACTATTGGAATTGTAACCCATGGAGCAACAGCTGGGGTCAGGAAGTTGTAGAGTTAGCTGAGCGTCAATTGGCTAACAACAATAACAACAACAATAACAACAACAATAACAACAGCAACAACAACAACAACAACAATAACAACTTCAACAACCCTCACTATGCCAACTGGTTCTGTGGCAACTGCTACAATAATAACAACAACAACAACAACTACTGCCCTAAAAGTAAGTTAATAAATTCATTGAGCCAATTTGTCCCTAAATGAATGTAGATTTTTTTCACTAACTCGATTTTAATTCTTTTTTATGAATTGATGAAATAACGTTAGCTAGAGAATCGTCAGGTCACCGAGAATTTTTTTCCCTACTCTTGCCGAAGGCAAAAAGATCGTAGGGAATAAGTAATCGGGTTTGGATATATGAGGTGGCCCGACGGTCCTACGTTGACGACAAAAGTCTGCTCCTTCGCAATATAGACCACTCTCCTATAACTATGTGTATAAAAGGAGTCTATTTTGCGCGCGCGACGCCTGTTATGTGTTAATTAATTACAGGCATAGCAACCAGTTTTTGGTGCTTGACGACTGTTACACAGGTTTCCATCGGGTTACAATTCACTCTTATTCATTAATATAGCATATTAGTCATCAGAGCGGATCAATCATCAATGTAAGTGTTATTTTGGTGAAACAAGCTTAATAAATTACCGAGTGATAAAATTCAGCAAGTCGAAACAAATTAAATTATGATATCAGCTGATAAACTCGTTGCTGATTACTTAATATATATTACTTATAACAGTTGATCGACACTTCATGGTAAAATTTAAAAAGCGAAAACATAGTTGACAAAAGATGTTACTTTACATTTACATTCAAGGAGCAACTAAGATCAAGATTGCGGTATGCTTTTAAAGAATCCTATATAAAATCAAAGGCTCGATAGTCGATAGTCGATGGTGCTGTAGATGTAAGCATCAAAAGCATTAGTTTATGTTATATACAAATAATAACTAAGATGAGACAGAATAGTTGATTACAGTCAATAAAGTTGGCATACGATGCAATAATATGACGTGACATCTTGTGAGCTCGGCTAGTATATATGAAACATTTGTCATGGAGTTGTAGAGGGAGTTATGTGCCTCGCCGGGCTAAAGTAGTGGATGACCTTGCTGTACGGCAAGTTAAACAAGGATCTGAAACTACTAGGTTCCGTACAGACTCAACTCTGCACCCGTGTCAATATGTTCATTATATGCAAGCCTCTTGATTTATGATACTCATCGTTAACACAAAACAAAACCGCGCAAAAATGAAATGATCTACAACCAAACCACATACAGATCGACATTCGACGGCGACACTTCAGATGCGCGCAGAATTTTACAAGTTCTGCACGCCTAATATAATATAAACGATTATCGCGTGCGCCAAACACCACTGTGGGATACAATAAGGGGTCGTTCACATATTACGTAATCATTTTTTGGAACAGTTTTACCCCCCCCCCCTCCGTAATCAGTTTTACACAAAGCTATTGTGTCGAAATTACACTAGCGTAATCATTCGGAAACCCCCCCCCTCAGCTGATTACGTAATATGTGAACGACCCCTTAAGTAGAACAAATACATTGTAGGCAGTAGGGAAATTTGATCGTGCGTGGTGTTACCGCGGCGAAATTCTTGTTGCATTAAATCCTTTTAATTAAATTGTTAACCATAAATTGATAAATTCATTGAGATTCTCACTATCGATCAGTCTAATAAAGGGTGTTTCTGTTAAAGTTAGAACTGAGAGCTCGGTTGCTAATGACAGGGTGGCATTTACTCATGACAATTTTCTAAGCTTCTCAGATAACAGAAAGGTGTTTGCCGTCTTTCGATGTTGGTGCAGCTACTTATTTTGTTAACATCATAAGCATTAGTTAAACTCCATTTACAGCCTTTAGAAAGCTAAAGCGCACTTGAATATCGTAATTACATAATTACATAATAACATAATTACACCAAGAAAATCACAATTACCTACCCATAAGAGATCAAAACAAGTTGCGGTTCATTTGGTTGGGCATGTAACCCGGAATCTAGAAACAGTTACTGTATCGGAGTGTGGAATGTTTGTGACGGTGTATGGAACTGTCCCGGAGGAACTGATGAACAGGGCTGTTACAACTAGAGGTAGGAGGGGTGGTGATATTACGGCAGCTGATAAACGTCGACACAAAATATTTCCTTGTATTTGAGTAGATTAGTCACGTTTGTCAGGCTGTCTCAGTGTAATCACATGACCCACCCAAAAGGGGAGACCTGTAATCACAAGACAGTCTCTGTTTTTTTTTCCGTTCAGAAATTCACTAATTGAAAATCATACCTGAAGTCTTAAACTTTTCCGAAAAAAAAATAAGTGAAAAAATGTCGCCAGATTTAAGAGCTGTCATGTGATTACACTGGTGATTTCACCATCCCTCTCGCCTTTTGGTTGGGACAGTGATGAATACTGTGCGTGTTTCAGGAGGCTAACACACGCAACATTTACTAACCAACCTTTTTATTTATGGATCAAAACTTGGGCTCTTTTCTTTAAACGTTCCCATATATTTGTACTGCACTACCCAACGATTAACAAGAATCTCATCATCTCAATAAAGCGCAGTAATATTACAAAATCCCTCATTTCAGTGCCATGTGGAAGATTTGGGTTCAAGTGCGGTTCATTGAGCTTCTGTATTCCAATCTGGAGGGCTTGTGACGGCTACACCCACTGCCCTAACGGAGCAGACGAGAGTGGGTGCCCGGTTATTAGGAAGACATGCAAAGCTTGGTAACTCACCATGGAACCCCCTTCTGAGTGGACATTTTGATAAGATGGTTTTTGTTCTGTGTTGGACTTGGTAGCGAGTTTAATAGACTTCTGCGCTTATTTCTGATGAATTTACGTTTTTCATTTTTAAAGGGGAATATGTTTAGGGCGCTAGGATTTGAGTAGGATTTTAGTAAATAGTAGCAGACCCAACCTTGATGTCTCTTAATGTTGCTCATATTGAAAGAAAACTTATGTCATGGCACTATGTAGTCACATTATAGCACAGAGTTTTAATATAAGCTTAAATGTTTACCAGTCGTTTAAACATTTAGTTACTGAGTTGGATTCAAATGTAACAATAAATAACAAAAGCTAAAAGGAAATGCTGACCCTCGGTTGGAGGAACTGCAGAGGATGAGTCCACCAGAGCTGCTCCACACATCTGACCAGCATGGTAAACCACCTCCAATAACAGCCCCTGTGCTCGACTCAGATCCGCTTCATGAATGTTTCTTCCTTCGATCGACCGCTGAAAATATAAGGCGGGTTAAGAAATGAGCTTTTAACAAAGATGAATAAATAAGGTTTCTTTAACTCAAATATTAAAAAACCACAAAATCAGTCCAAACCGGATTTAAAACTTTCCACATTCCAAAATCCACACAATCTTATTACCTGCACGATTCTCTTAACAGCAGACAGGACATCCTGTACTGCGTGGGTTAGTTTGAAGTTAGGTTTAGTGTGTTGGGTCCAGGAGGCAGCATCACGGTACAGACATGTCAGATGGTGGGTTAGTTTGGGTACCAGACTCACCTCCTCTGAGAAGGAGAAGTGTTACGTGAGGATTGCTGTTATATGGCCCTATATAATTGTCTAAGCCATTAAGCCAATTAAAAAACACGCCACGGAAAATGTAGGTTAAAATTTCAATCAGGAACTTAAAGTAAATCGCTTCAATATAAATTATACGATTAGGTATTTAAATGGAGTTCTGACTCACTGTCAGCGATGGAGGAGAGAGTGTAGCTGACAGCTCTGACACTTTCTAACAAGGTGTCGCAGAGAGTGTTACCAGAGAAGGTGTTACACATTTGAGGTGTTGTTGTCAGTAGGAGGTGTAGTTGTGATAAGCAGTCTCCGTAACGGTCTCCGCCTCTTGATTTGCAACCTGATGTGATGAGAAACTTAGTTAAATTGAGCAAGTTAGAAACATTTAGTTCAATAAACTAAAGTTAGTTTTATAAACAAAAAAGTTAAATGAGTAACAAAAAGATTGTTCTGACAAGACATATCGCTACTTTTTCAAAGCCACGATTTTTTAACTGTTTAACAATATCATCCTAGTTTAACAATATTGTCCCAGTGTAAGAATATGTCAGTGTAACAATAACATCATCTACTTACTCCTAGGGGTGCTGATAAAAGAGGTGGCACTCAGGAAACTCTCGGAAGCGCTAGAAGAAAGCTTAGTCTCGGAGATAATGCTCGCCTCGTCTGAGAGCATGCTGAGGTCCTTCTCCCACTCTTCCTCACACCCGAATATTCCTGACATGTCCTTACCCTCTATTGGCACCACCGAGTTCTGAGGAGATATTACGAGATTAAATACAATACTGAAGCGAATGAAAATACTCTGCTATACGACGTACGTGCAATATTGGCGAGTAAATGTCATCAAAACTTTAGACTAAATAAGGATCAGAACAGCCGCCAAACCTTGCAGAAAGCAGCTGGCTGATCTGTAAGAGTGTCAATTATCACAAGATTACTAAACGTACCTGACACAAGGCCTGATAATAAGCCTTCAACCCTTCAACTCGCTCACAAAACGTCTCAAAGCTCCAAACAATCGCTCTGTTATTCGTCAAGTCAGCAGCTCTGATGAACACGTCTGATCTGTTGTCCATGGAGACGGTCTCTCGCGTGAAGACGATGTTTCGTTTGATGAGCTTACAGAGCTCGCCTGCTTCCTTCATTTTTAGGTACATGTTGAAGGTTTCGTCGCTGAGCAAGGAATCACAGGAGTCGAGGTATGTTGAGATTTGTAGGTTCTTGTCTTGTTTAGGTACCCGTCCTTCCTGTGAAAAAAATCAACATTTCACTTTTCATATTTAAGCTAAAATTTCACTCTCTGAAGTCGTTGGCCGATGAAATTCGCAAATTTTCAAGGTTTATTTATAGATAAATTAGACTACAAATTCCAAAACAATCTAGAGAATGCCTTATAAGACTAACAAGACTAACAAGACTACTGACCATGATGCGGTCTCGGAGCTGCCCAGAGAGGAGGACTAGTCTCTCCACACAGTCCTCACCTCCGTCTGAAGAAGAAGACACCGTGGTGACACTAGACTGGCGTCGGGAGCTTAACCGGCGAGTGTTTGCTGCTTGACCCTGCGGGAGAGAGGAGCGGGTTAGAGGGTTAGGAGTGGGTTACAGGGTTAGGAGTGATTTAGAGGGTTAGGAGCGGGTTAGGAGTGGGTTAGAGGGTTAGGAGTGATTTAGAGGGTTAGGAGCGGGTTAGAGGGTTAGGAGTGGGTTAGAGGGTTAGGAGCGGGTTAGAGGGTTAGGAGCGGGTTAGAGGGTTAGGAGCAGGTTAGAGGGTTAGGAGCGGGTTAGAGGGTTAGGAGCGGGTTAGAGGGTTAGGAGCGGGTTAGAGGGTTAGGAGCGGGTTAGAGGGTTAGGAGCAGGTGAGAGGGTTAGGAGCGGGTTAGAGGATTAGGAGCAGGTTAGAGGGTTAGGAGCGGGTTAGAGGGTTAGGAGCAGGTTAGAGGGTTAGGAGCGGGTGAGAGGGTTAGGAGCGGGTTAGAGGGTTAGAAGCAGGTTAGAGGGTTAGGAGCAGGTGAGAGGGTTAGGAGCGGGTTAGAGGGTTAGGAGCGGGTTAGAGGGTTAGGAGCGGGTGAGAGGGTTAGGAGCGGGTTAGAGGGTTAGGAGCGGGTTAGAGGGTTAGGAGTGGGTGAGAGGGTTAGGAGCGGGTTAGAGTGTCATATATTTAAGCTTATTTGGTTTTCAAGTATATCTCTAATATTTAGTATTTTGTGTGTTCACATCCTATGATATAATGAAGTTCACGTTATGATTTTGGAAGAATGAAAAGTGGACTGAAGTAGTTCTACGCTCAGAAGATTAACTGAGATTAGCAGTTATAAGATCCTGAAAATCTTCTAGTGAGTTTTGGATTTTGTCTAAAAATGGACAAAGTTCTGCAGGCCGTTAACCACTAACGGCAAATGTTGTGGGATTCAACAGTTTCTTACTGACAAGGAAGACTCTTAATATAATTAATTAAACATGAAAGCTATAAGTGCTTTTGACAAACAATAAAGCGCTGGTATTCGCCTGAATTTTGAAACTATGAATTGAATGTTCTACTTCTTGACTGCATATCTTACTTGAAGAGAAATGAGAATCATAAGAAGGGTTGATATATTTAGATGGAGGTAGCAGAATCATACGTTTCCTCAATATGTTCCAACTCCAACAGGAACAAGCCAGGAAGATGACGATGAAAGAAAGTACGAGAAGAACGTAGAAGTATGGAAACTTGTTTAACATTTCCCTGATGTTTAGTTCTCCAGCCATATTCTCATCTCATGTTAACCAAGGCCCTGTTTTAGCAACAAGTTGAAAGCCGTGGAAATTTCGGATTTTTCTTTAAATTAAAGGTAGTCAAAACCGATAGTTAATCATTAGTTCGCAAAATTAAGTTCATTGACTGACGACTGATTAGAATTATCAAATTCAAAGAAAACCATGTTTTACAGATTTTTGGAAAATGTCGGAAAAATTGATTTTGAATTGATATAAGCAACAAATCGATGAGAAAAATTATTCAATGCTGGCATTATTATTACGCATTTATTAATATACGGACATTATAATAACGCAGGAAAAGATATGACTCATAATTCAGGTATTTTATAGCTTATAATCAATTAAAAAAAGCCAACTACCAGCCTACCGCTTACAAACTCATTAAATGGTAAACTTTCAAACAGCATCAGCACGACAATTTCAATTATATCGTGCGGTGAAATTAACCGTGAAGGTGCAAATAATAATGTGTGTCTAATAATGGAAGTCTCCGGCACCACCAATATAGCCAGAGCCCATTACTCAATTAAAAAGGTCACGTGTGGTTAGTCACGTGGTAACGCCATGGTAACGCGTGGTCAAGCCACGTGTAACACCATATTTAAGTGGTTTAAGACGAGGTTTTCAAGAAATTCAAAACAGTCCGACAGAAAGAAAAAGAGTAGCCGGTTAAAAAGCTGGTGTTGCTGCTCACACAGTCACATCAGCCAGAAGCTCATGTAAGAATAGGATCAATAATTATATAGAGGAAAGCGTAAATTAACCAGTGCTATCGAAAGTAGAGCTATGCATATTCAATCACTAATTGAAACGGCACAGAGAAGTGCTACAACATAATGTATTTTCCGTAAGTATGTTAATGTTAATGTTATGTGTGTCGTCAAAATCATGTTTAATACCAAACATGTATTACTCCGAATTAGTGAATCCGAATCTTCCTACTTTCCTAAAGAATCTTCGTCAATTGTCAGGAATCACTGATGCCAGATTGAATATCATCTTGCCCCAGATTTTAATCACTGATGAGGTCGGGACCAAAGCCATAGTGTATTCTGGCCGCCTCAGGGAACCACGACCTCAGGCACCAGTCATTCAATGAAGAATGAAGATGTTATGAAGATCTCAGGAAAGAATGGTTTTATTATGCTTAAATTTTAGCACGGACGCGGAGGGTTTCATAAGTATTGTAATAGGGAATTCAGGGTTTGAACCCTTTGAAGTCTCTTTATCAATTGGTTTGGTTTAAAAATTAGGTCCGGAAAAAACCCTGGAAAATGTAAATTTCCTTTATATCTATAAATAAGTTTTTAAGGTGTTTTCCTTTATTTATGTGTGATCCCTTAAAATTCTAGCGAATGGTTTAGATGTGGCACGACTAAAGACATAATTATGATAAAAACAGTCGTTTTAACAGTTGACGTCTACTCTACGGATAGAAGGAGCATAATTCAGTGCTAAAGTGTTTTCCTTTACTTTAAGATCCCTTAAAGCTGTAGTATATACAATAGTCTATTGTATAGACTATACAATAGTCTATTGTATAGTCTATACAATAGCGAATTGTTTAGGTGTGGCACACAGTGGACGTCTATTCGACGGATAGAAGGAGCATAATTCAATGTTCAACATGTTCAACATGTTTAACATGGGCAGCTGCCGGCTGCATCAATGATGCGTGTTTTACTTCTCTTCCCTTATCTTACTGCTTTAACTGTATTTGCAATTTACATTCATAAATTATATATTATATAATAATATTATACTATGAAGAACCAGATATACCTGTTGAATTATTAAACAACATCTGCCATTGTATTGATTGACTAAGCCGCGACATTTGGCCAAAGAAGAATAATGCATGTCAGACACCACGAAGGCCTGGTAATTCTGTACCGGTGCATTAGTGCCTATGATTCAACACCTGCCTCTTATACTATATTCTCTCCTATGATGGTTAACATTAAGAACGTATGCGTATTATGAAGTCTATGCCACTCATTGACCTAACCTTTTTACTTTACTCTGGAATCCGCATTTATGTTATATGGTTGTACCTATTATTCAAATTCACGTTCCCATATCAATATCTAGTATCTACTTATTGCACGTTAGTTTTTACTTAATTTATATTTTGCTGATAAATCACCCTTCGATTTTTCATTTAACGTTGGAAAGATGGTCTTATTTCGATCGAATGCTAAGATTTAGAAACAAAAATGTTGACCCATATTGCGCTAATTTCAATCTTTACCCTAATTGAAAGGGTTTATAAGGTTTTGAAGCTTCTTATAAGTCTATTACACCATGCTATAAGCGGTACTTGGAAATATAGGTAACAGCAAGTAGCAACGCACCCATCGCCAGATTACAGGAACGAACAGACTAAATTCTGGTTTCAAGGACATAAAGTCCAAAAAACTAATCACCCCGGTAATTAGGCATAAGTAACAAAGTAACCTGGGTTTAGTAGCAACGTCTGGGTTGTGGCAGCGACCAGCGTACGTACAACTGATCCGTTCATGTAATTGTGATTTAACGCACCATGTTGCTCCCCTTGAGTGCCTTTAGCACGTTTCACCTTGATACCTTGGTGCGAGGGCCACACTATTAGCACGAGGTCACGTACAATTTGAGCAACAGCTCACGTTCTTTCCAAACACGCTTTCTTGTCTCTTGTCTCGCGACCATTAACATAAAGTGTGGTATTAGTTATCTTAAAGTTCAAACTACATTTCCGCGTTCATTTAAAATAAATTTTCCAGAACCTTTTAGATATTATGCCCGTAGTAACTGTGCGTTGTGTTTGATTAATAATTATTTCTCAGGACTGAAATAGTGAAATGTCATGCCGTCATGGCCGAGTTTTATCTGCATGGTTAATGTTATCTTCACTGTTCTCGCTATTTCTATTCCTGGTAAGTCTTAAGTAGTTTCCAGGATAAATGGCTACAATTTCTGTGTTCGACCATGATTAGATATTTAGGGATGTAAAATGTCATTTAATTTAATTAGTAATTACTCAACTCTACCAAAAATAACCCTGGTCCAGTCTTCTCATCCCTGTAGGATATTTAACCAGACTCTTTGTTAAAAGAGATAACAATAGCTAATTTCCCACACTAGGATGGGAGGCCCGAAAGAGAACGAATTTTGATTTTCCTGGATACGGTAACCCGATATTACTTTCACAGTCTCTTCAAATTGGAGACGTGATAGTAATTTCAGGAAGAAACTTAGATCCCCACAAGAAGTTGACGAATAAGAACAACTTTCAGGTTTGGGAGGTTTCTATTTCAAAGGATCCAAAAATTAGTTGATTAAATTCATGGTCGAATTTTTAAGTGATTTAGAAATTTGGTTTTATTTCCTGGATTGGGCAATTCGTCGAATATATGGATTTTACAAATTTATCAAATACTTCTCTTTTCGATTATATTGATTTTTTGCATGTTCACCTGTTTTATCCAAAGTCCCTACAAAACAGGTGTTAAAAAAGGATCGGAGAAACGCAGTGTTTAACTACGGCTTAAGGTTTCACGAAAATAACTTGATCCTTAATACAATGAGAAATAAAGTGTGGGGAGCGGAGTTAAAGTTCCCACTTTATATAAAATCCAATGTTACCTTCTCGCTCAAGGTGGAAATAGGTAAAATTCAAACTTTGACTTATTGACGTTAGTGAATATTTTCGGCTTGGTTCTATATTTAAACTTGGACAGTCGATTCTTTCTAATCCTGTGATTTTTACCGTTGAAACCCTCTCTATTCTTTAAGCAACAATTCTTGGTAAAAAGTTTAGAAAGTTTCCTGAAAACTATTTTCAGGACAGCAATTTTACATTGTGCACCTTGATGATAAACTCATATCAGACGGCGACCTTCCCATCAACAGAAAAGGTAAACTTGAGCTGAGCGAGTTCGAATGCTAAATATTGCTACTTGCGTAAACATAGGATTTAAAATTACGCTGGCGGTAAAATTATTTCAATTTACGATCTTGGTCTAATAAATTCTGATATAAAAAGTAAGTGAAATAGCCAGGGATATTTCAGGAGTGGAGTACAACACAGGGACACATCTACTTTTCTTAGAATCAGGAGATACAGGGATGGTTTGGGGAGATAATAATTATGTGGAAAGAACGGTCCCTCAAGGAATAGGTACGTATCACGTGATATCACTTCGGCTTTGGACTAGAAAAACACGTGATCTCACCCATTCCAAACTTGGACTCATAGACAATTCATTCACAAATCACAATGCAGTATAATAATGGTAACAATGAGCAATATGATAAAGCATTTAGAAAACATATTGCATGGGCAAGTCTGAGAACACAGTCAGATCTGTCATCTGAGATGATCAGAACTTGAATTAACTCAGATATCTTATTGAACAAACACTATCGATTTGAGTTTGAGCGGGCGAGTATAACGTTAAAAACGTCAACGAATAACAAAAAAAGTGCGAAATTTTAAAATGAGAGGCGAAATCATTCTCTTTAATCAAATATAATTGCGCTGTAAAAAAATGATTTATCTATTTATTCATTTAAATTAAACTAAATCCGTACCTCAATGATGGCCTGCCCAGCCTCCAGTTCACAAGTCATCTCCGATATCTTATTCCTGGCTTTATCCAACTCTCTGCTCAGTGATTCGTTCTCTGTCATCAGCTTCATGTGCTTCTGGTTATTTACTCTGAAATTTTATTGTTTAAATCCGTGTTTGTTTTTAACTTTTTGTTCCGAAGAGGAAAGTTTTTTAGGAGAGCCGTTCAGACTTGGGCACTTTATTGTGTAAGCTATTTAGTTATATTGTATACAATATCTTTGCCGCATAGAAGCGCGGTAGTAAATACTATGTTTCGTTTCGTTTCGTTATAGAAATTGCTGGATTTCTGGGATGATCTTTAAAAACTGTGATTTGGATCAAAAATGAACCAACTCACGAGTTGATGAGTTCTGTTTTAGCAAACTCGTAGTCTGCCACGTTCCGTAGTTTATTTTCCGGTAAAACAACAGTCCCACCAGGTGCTGTGAACCTGTTCGTAATTAAAAATGTTGAAACATTGAATATTAGCACTCTCATTATGCAGCTATGTTTAAAAAATAGCATGTTATAGTGCCGTTTTTGTTAAGTGTTGATAATCTTAATCGATAATCTTATATCTATTTCATTTTTATAGCTAGATTATAAGTATAATTAGCAGTTATTATGAAGATTTCCGGGTTTATAATTACTTAACTATAAATACGGGAAACTGTGATCAAATGAACCTGAAATAGTGGCCACCTCCGAAGATAACCCTGTCTCCGTGGTTCAAGGTAATTTCACCGATCAAAAGCTGCCCGTTGACAAAGACAGTCGCCTCTGATTCCCACTGTTTCAAGAAAACTCTCCCTTCGCAGTTTTCTAGCTTGCTGTGGAAAAATAAAAATGAATTTCAAAACAGTTGCTGTAGCCGAGTCAATATATTATCGCTACATAAGAAAAAACAAGCTAATTCCTTAGTTTTGCTATAGAAAATCGAGTTGACTCGTTTTAGAGGAAGAAGCTTACCAGTGGATTGGGTGTATAAGAACGTCGGACAGATAAATGTCGACAGTGTCTGGGACTTGGGAACTTCCTACCAGGAGCATACCCTGAAAACAATTAAATTAATATTATCAATGACAGCCACCATTAGCAATTGTCAACTATCGATAACAATCGTTCACTATTAATCAATAACATATAGATTATATAGATCAGTTAATAAGTAAAATTAGTTTGCAAATTTATGGACTGATAAACAATCATCCCACAAGTTAAGTTTTCCAACTTATTTCTAAATAAAGTATTCAATGTCACGTGTCACGCACCTCTGGAATGTCAATGGACAGATACTCCCCCTCCTGGGGGTCCTCATTCAGATTAACCAGACAAGGTGCTCTGTGCTGTGTACCAGCCCTGATTACGGGAACTATGTTTGTGCACGTGCACACTGGGATCACAGTCGGCGCGCTCGTGCACGTGCACGTGGGCTGAGTGGGAGGGTAGCTACTCATAGTTATATCAGTCATACTGGTCATTAGCTCTACTCGGTCTTCTTCGTTAACTGATTCACCTGAGGGATGCGAAATATAAAATTTCATTCACTTCCTAGAATTCTTTATATTATATAAGGAATTCTTTCTCTTATTAACTCTTAACAAAGCTTTTGTGGAGTCGCCAAAAACTAATAAGAGCACCAGATGGGTCAGATAAATGTATAATATCATCAGCCAGCTTTCGTCTAGACTTGTCATTTATCAGTAATAGTAGTAGGAGGTAAGTAAAGGTAAGTAGTGAGGTAAGTAGGAGGTAAGTAAAGGTAAGTAGTGAGGTAAGTAAACTAACCGCTTCTCCACCGTAGTAACTCTGAGTTACATTTCTCGTACATGTGCTTGATTCTGTCGTATCTCTTCTTCAGCTCGTCGTGTGACAGCTCTATGTTGGGTGTTACCACGTTCTTGATCTTCTTCGCTCTAAAACAAATGGTCGTTATTTAAAAAAGTGGGGATATACGTTTAAAATTCGCAGTTTAAAGTTTGAGCAAAAAGTTGTGAGTATTATTGGTTAATTGCACTTACCGAGTCCCAAAAGCAAGAGTAGACTTAGTTTCGCTCTCATTGGTAGCATCCATTGACATACAGATTACTATTGTAGTTCTGGAATTACCACCTGAAATTTAAATTCACATTAACATAACTTAACCTGTTACCTGACGACCACACCCTCTGCTCAACTGGCATATGGGCAATTCTCATAAAAAGCGTCACAAGTCACTAATAGAAATTTTTTCCTCCAATTTCTATAAAAGTTATATCATGCGTTAGCTTATAAAGATCTCTATTGGACACCATTGTAGTGTCAGCAGTTTGCAGACTTTTTAGCTGCTAAATTGACCAATCAGTGTTTGTTTGTTTGGGGACTGGTTTGTAAGCCAGCCAATGTTTACGAATATAATATTAATAACTTTATTACATAATCATAAATATATATCATAAATAGATCAAATCTGAAACACAAATTTGCACGCAGTTAATAAATTTATTAAAAAAGAAAATGAAAAAAAAAGTTTATTGATAAAAACAAAATATGGAGCACTCTGTGCTTCCAACAGCCTTTCAGACTCGCGCTAAGTTTGTTAGGGACTGATTTAGGATATCGTAGATAATGCTATGCCATGCCATTAGTTTGGATATGTAGTGTTTGTGATTGTTGAAATAAATTAATTACGGTTTGTGCTGATAGGAAAATAGTGATAGTGGGGAATGTGGCAGTGTAAATATGGACCTGGAATTTAGGATGTGTGGCTTATCCATTAATATTAGTTGCCGCTAGTCTGTGATCAGTTTGTTCTGGTTTTTTTGTGTGCAAATATATATTCATAGTTTATTTTTGTAATATTATATAATATATAGTACTTAATAATAACCATATGACTAATAACTGATTTACTAATTAACTAATTAACTAATTCACTAAACTGATATAATGACCGTTGTGTCCAGTAACTTTCAGACACGTTGTGACCTTCTTAGACCTGGAATATTATGTAATAAGAAACTGGGCCACGTGTCATCGTCATTTTCACTCTGCAGGTTCAAGAGCATGCGTTTTGTAGCCGATTTAAAAAGGTTTATGGAAAAAAGTGTTGGTAGGGTGCTTACATTTGCATTTACAGCATAAATTGAGAGTAAAGGTCCTTTGAAGAACATCGAAGATCTGAAATGTGTGGTGTTGTACTCGGCTAACCAGGATGCTGCAGTCACGTGATCTGAGTTTGCAGTGGGTGCATTTTCTGGGATAGTCATACAGATTTGTTGAGGGACTGAGCTGCGGAAATGTTTGATTCGGTGCATGAGAATTAGTGTGTTTTTTACAATAACACTGTGCACCGTGAGTATACCATTGTTATTGAAAAATTGTTTTGTGTGTTCTGGCAGTCGACCGTCTTTGTAAAAGTAATTAATGTGACCTGGCATTACTGCCCTGATACCCTGTTTTTGTCGTGAGAAGAGTGATTCAATGTGATTTTTTGCTGCAAACCCCCATACAATTGAACAGAAGTTTAAATGCGATTGAACAAAACTTTGATATATCTGTAGCCTTATTTGAATCGATAGGTGACGTTTTATTTTATACATAATTCCTACATACCGCATCATTTTTGATCTAACAGCTGCTATATGCTTAGACCATGTTAGTTTATCATCCATTATAACGCCAAGGAACCGTGCTTCCCTTTTACGTTCTAATTGTGTGTCTGCAATATGAATATTTGGAGTATTATCAGTATTTCTAACACCGAAAAGCATATAGCAGGTCTTTTTTAGATTAAGTGCAAGTCCATTACAGTCAACCCAGCGTACAAACTCGTGGGAGAATTGGTTGAATTTTTGTATAACATCGTTTGCATTTTTGCCTTTTATTATGATGTTTGCATCATCAGCGTAGAGTATAAACTTTATCATACTGTTGATATTTGGCATATCATTGATGTAGATTAGGAATAACAAAGGTCCCATAATACTGCCCTGTGGAACTCCGTATGTAATAGGTTTAAGAGCTGATTTAATACCATTCAAACATACATATTGCTGACGTGTGCTCAGGTAGGATTTAAACCATTGCAAAGCTTGCCCACGGATTCCATAGTGCTGGAGTTTGTCAATCAATACATCATGAGACAAAACGTCAAAAGCTTTACTAAAGTCGACTAGGAGTAATAGAGCAACTTCCTTTTTGGCAAGGGAATTCAGAATCGTGTGTTGAGCATCCAAAAGAGCATGCTCACAGGATCGGCCTGGCCGGAAGCCATATTGCCCTTCAAAGAGCGAGCCTTTCTTGTCAAGGAAGTCCATTACTCTATTATGCATAAGTTTTTCATACAATTTGGAAAAGGTGCACAGCAAAGATATGGGTCGATAGTTAGTGGCGTCGGATTTGCTGCCTCCTTTGTGAATTGGTATAACTTTAGCTATTTTGAGAGATGATGGGAAGATACCTTGACTAAATGATGTGTTAATGATTATGGACAAGACTTTACAGAAGGAGGGGCAGTCTTTTACCATTTTTAGGGGTTCAATTTTAGTGTCTTGAGTGGATTTATTCTTAAGCTTGCTAATAATTTGTTCAACTTCACTTTCGGTAGTTGGTCTTACGAACATAGACTGCGAAGCTGGGCTGCTAAGGTAATGTTTAAAACCCCCTGGATCGAATACAGTACGCGCGCTGATCGCATCTTTGATTTTTGTGGCAATGTTGGAGAAGTAAGAGTTAAAGTGCTCAGCTACATCACTGTCACTATTTATGATATTTCCGTCGGCGTTTTGGAGTTTAATTTTGTTATGAGATTTAGATTTTCTGCCAAGTAGAGTGTTGATCAGCTGCCATTGTTTCTTTGAACAATCTTTATACTTATCAAATTGTGTTTTGTAGTATTTGTCTTTTGCCTTATTGACGTGCTTGTCGCAGAATGCCTTATGCTTTTTGTAAGCCTTGTAGTTTTCCTCCGTTGGGTCCACTATTTTGGCATGGAATAATTTGTTTTTACGAGCACATGCAATTTCAAGCCAGGGTAGCATAAAAGGTTTGGGGTCCTGCCTTTCACATTTGCGGCGCACATGATTGGTTTTCACTGGGTATGCCTCATCATAATGCTGACCGTATATTTCAATAAATTTGTTATATTGTTCATCAGCACAATTTTCACGTGTGACTTCCTCCCACATTTCGGATCCAATTAATTCTATAAATTTAAGGTTGTTCGACTCGTTAAACATACGTTTTTCAACATTCATTCCATGGTCGACTCTGTGTCGTTTGTTTCTGCTCCCTGCAATGTGGCTGTATTGCCCAAGTGAGATAGTAACAAGAGTGGCTAGATGATCAGACAGGTCAACAGTAAGAACATTGCAGCTGTGTGTGTGTTGTACATTATTGCTGTAAACATGATCTATAAGAGTGGCACTGTGATCAGTGATACGTGTGGGACGTGAGACTAGCTGAAAGAAACCGTATTTGGTCATAGTTTCAATCAAATTTTGACAGTGTTTGTCAGTATCATAATGTGTAAGATCTACATTGAAGTCACCGACTAATATAGTATGTTTTCTCGAGTGCCTTTCCATGCCGTGTAATAGGGAGTCAATGAGTTTGTTAAAATTATCAGGATTTTTTGATGCTGGTGACCGATATATATTGACGATTATCTTTGTTTTGTTAAAGCCTTTGCAGTTATGGAGTTTTACCAACATGAATTCACCACTCTTGTCTGTCACATCAAAGTTTTGGGGAAAGAATTTTTCAATATTTTCAGACTCGCATACGCGCGTATTGATATAAATTGCTAAACCCCCACCACGACCAGAACTACGTATTGGATCTCGTAACAGTGGTTCATAAAATCCCTCAAGCACTAGGTCATTAATACCATTAGGAAGCTTATCCTGCAAGAGATTAGTCTCGTTAAAACAAAGGACATCATACTTCGAGTACGTGAATATATCTTCTCTTAATTTGTTTACATTGGGTGTCCGTCCGTGACGTTTTTGTCACGTCCGTGACGGGTTACGGACAGGACAAAATAAGAATAGTCACGTCCGTGACTGGTCACGGACAGGACAAAATAAGAATAGTCACGTCCGTGACTTGTCACGGACAGGACAGGATAAGAATAGTCACGTCCGTAATGCATCACGGACAGGACAATTCTTATTTTGTCCCGTCTGTATGCACTTTTAGAGTAGCTGAAATCTAAAAACTGTATGTAATTTATGTATGTGATACATACTGATAAATACTTTTCACGTACACAGTAGGGTAGGATGGGGTAACTTGGAACATGGGGTAACTTGGAACAGCCTGGGGTAACTTGGAACAGCCTGGGGTAACTTTTAACGGCACTAGGTAACTTTGAACACAAAATTTAATCGATTTTGGCAACCTTGAACACCATTCACCTCCCTCCTACATTCCACAAATGAGTGTTATAGTTGTTACATTGTACATAGATGTGATAATTCCATTTCCTATCCGGTTAAATTCCATGTTTCTATGTTTTGTTCCTCGCTTTAAAAGCTTTTTGCACTTTTGTACCATAGATATTGTGTTATCATAGCACTTTGTGACTTGCCACTTTAGGGGTTCTGAATCTTTGAATTTGTATTCCCAAATGATTATTGAGGTTTTAGTATACCTGATAGAATCAATTGGAACACTCTAATTGAGGTATCAAGGAAGTTCTAATGCTTGAATTCAATTAGAAACTCTAAAAAAAGTGTCACAGACACGACAAAATAAGCCATAGTCACGCCCGTGATGCATCACAGACGTGACAGAATAAGACATTGTCACGTCCGTGACTCATTTTCAGGCGTCACGGACAGGAAAAAGTGCTGACACCTCTGAAAAAAGCCTGTTTTTTAATTAATTATCTAAATTGATAATCAGTTTTTAAGTTATTCATGTTAAAAGTGATATGATGACACAGTAGATTTCAAACGTTTATCAGTCAATTGGTGCTTGAATCAACGTTTTGTTATTTACTGAAATGAAATGATATGAGATTGAAAATTCGAGGGAGTAAATGACGCTTTTTATGAGAATTGCCCATATATGTTTTTAATAATTTAAAAAAAATCTGACAGATCGTTTTTTTTTTTTTTTTTTTTTAAATGAGGAACCTGCCAAACCCCAGGACACCAGGAGGATACCACCGGCAAAGCGGCTAATAGTACCCTCCGGTCTGTGTTGTACCGAAGAAGCTGAGTTAATCGATCATGACTCGGCTTACCAGCCAAGAGGCAAAATCTGAGCGGCACCAAGGGTTCAGAGAGTGTCATTTCAGCTTCTCCGGTGCTGGATGCCCTGGGGTTTCACATGCGCCGTAGCAAAATAAATATAAAAACACACGCACACAATTTTTTTTATTCTTTTAGATAATACGTCGAATAAAGTCAGTGGATATAGAGTAATAAATTGCACATAAGATGGAGAGAAAAAGGAGAGATACTACTGGTTTTAAATGTGAGTCTATATCAATACTAGTAGTGGAGATAACTCCACTAGCTACAACTTGTGAAATAAAGGGTAAAGGTAAGGCACGGCTGAATTTTCGAGAAAATAAATAAACAAGAGTGTATAGTGGAACCAGAACTTTGGGTATAAAATGGTCATCAAGGTATAACGTCTTTAAGGCACCGTATAATATCCGGTTTTTCACCTAATAAGAAAAGCTTAAGATGTTTAAGATATCGCTCCCAGAATAGGGGTTCCTTGTTCTGGAAACTCCTTCCAATAAACCAACAGCAAACCGAATTTATGAAGTTAACACTTTTATCTCTGTGATTTAAGCAAATCAAATAGTGACGATATGGATTATGGGTCGTCATAATTTGCGTCAATATTCGATCTAATAAACAGATTTACTCCCTGTAGGAAAGAGCTTGTGGCTGGACAGTCAATAAATATGTGAGAGATAGTTTCGAGGTTGTGATTACATAACGAGCAATTTGGACTATCTTTTTCAATCTTCATTTTATATCTCATGTACCGACAAGTACTAATCCGGTGAAGGAGCTTATATTGGTACTGAATAAGTTTGAAGTTATTTGAGAAAGAAGTAAAAATATCCGTAAAAATACTAATCCAATCAATATCCGTTAAGGAGAGGTTAGCACTCCAGTTCCTCATTGGAGGAAGGGTGCTGGGATCTAAACGCTTAGACATGGTATCTCGAATGTTTCTACCTTTGATAGTGAGAGGAGTATCTCTAGAGTTGGGGGTATTCCTACCTCTCCAAAAGCGAAGTGAAAGTTGGGTATCGATAAATGTAATGTTACTTGTAAACGTATCGGTATTATTAAATCGACGTATTCCCAATTTTATACTCGCATATTGAGTCGAAGAGATTATACTACTTGTTTGGCCCCACTTTCTCAGAAATTGCTGGAAACTTAAGAGGTTACCTTCCTCTGAAACGAAATCAGAAAGATAGATGATATTTCTATCAATAAGAATATCGTTCCAGAGCTTGGAGCCAATGTCCGTTATTACGTCGCTTCCCCACACACAGTGGTTGACTGTACTCTTACTTGACTGTGAAGAAATAGACTTCCAAAGCTTATAATGGCGAAGTAGGTTAAAGGTAAAACCAGTATTCTTTAATGTGAGACAGTTTTTTATACACACAGTTGGTATATTTGGGTGTAAAAGCTGATTGATGATAATATTTTTCCAGGCATGTTGGAAATTAGGATCGATAACTTTTCCTATAAGTGACACTTTTAAACCTATAATAAAATCGTTAGTATAGAAGAGACCTAGACCCCCACATTCACGAGGAGAAGTAACAATATCACGTTTCAACTTATCCCTCTTACAACCCCACAAGAAGTGAAAAATCATAGTGTCTATTTTACTGATGACAGATCGTTATTAAAAACTGACCAAGGCTGTGCTGAAGGACCCTAGTGAGTTTGCTGTCCCGGTACGGGATATGTCCCTGTCCCTCCGACAGAGCTGAAATGACCTTCCCCAAACACATTAGGGACGTGTTGATCTTCTTAGCTTCGTCTAGGGTCATACCTTGTGCGTTCGTCTTGGAAGTCTGGGGTGGAGTGTAAGTCAGAGTGCTTTACTAATTACCAATTACTATCCATACTAACATGTTACAATCATGGTTACCCCGTTAAATTGTAAACCCAAATCGTTTGAGATTTTCAACATTTTTATAAAAATGGTGATCAGAATGAGCTTTATAATTGATCAACAATTTTGGGATCCCAAGATTCCTTACAACGAAACGATTATCAAACCTTTTCACTGCCAGCCAGATCAACCAGATACAGCTTTGAGGAGAGTTTCTGTTGCGTGGTAGTGTTACATTGGTTCACAGTGATCTGAAACACGCTGTGCGACCTCGAACTGTGCTCGTTCATGTCTGAAACATTGCTCCTTTATAATGTGTCCCGAAATTGTAAGTTATACCACAGATCCAGGGAAACTTAGAGTTTTATTTTTAAGATACATCGTAATCATTAAAATGTTTAGATAGATTAAGTCCTGTGGCTAAAGTTTCTGCCTTACTTAAAATCCTTAACAGTCACATCAGAAAGTGTACAATTTCCCCACTTCGCAACAATTTCCTAAAATTCAATCAACTCACTACCTGAAACTATCTACGAAGCCTCGAATCATCACAACCACAGCGGATTCTATGAATTGAATCAAAACCTCTAAAATAACTTCCAAATAAGGTATAATTACACAAACTCGCCCTACATTACAATATCATTCTCTACCACCACCCTCAACTTACGAGGCGGCTACAGAGCACAATAGTCGTACAGTGCACAGTGCACACTTGCACTAGTCGTAAAGTGCACAGTGCACACTTGCACTAGTCGTAAAGTGCACAGTGCACACTTGCACTAGTCGTATAGTGTACAGTGCACACTTGCACTAGTCGTATAGTGCACACAACAGTTTACACTCTAGATCTACTATCATATCAGCATATTGTATGGTTCTACAGTGTTGTATTTTCTGATTTCCTTTTGTTATACTTTTTTCATCTATTCGAACAAACTTTCCACTTTGGCCCAGTATTACTCATTAGTCATTACTAGACGTCTAGGCAAGGTTCTAGGATGTTGAACACACTCAGTAGTCGGTACATAATGAACATATGGGATACACTCTGTACTCTGTACCCGGTTTAATTAAACATCTCTGTACGGACTGTCACTCGTTTCTGTATTGTAAATACATTTAGTGGCTCATTGAACGTTGACGAGGCTTGTATTTTATGGTTCCATATTCGGTTCATAATGTTTGAGATATTATAATTGAACCGTATTCGAAGTTTTGCTAAATTTGACGAAATTTCTCAGTTTGATAAGAAAAGATTTTCATGAATTGGATTACAGGATATATCGAGTTCCTCTGTGAGATATAGAATTGTAATTGATATCTCATGATCTAGGAGCGATATAAGTGTTAGAGCCACTTCACTCACGATAAGATAATAATTTTGTCGGAATGTTGGGATTTAACGAGTACCATGTTACACCACATATCTAAATTCAGTTGACTCCATCACTTTTACGTTCTGATCAATCCTGTGTTTACGGTATTATCAAGAAGAGTTATAGAATTGTTTGTTAATTGGGAACCATTCCTTGGGAATTTAAATCATGTAATAGAACTCAATACTTGTTCACTTTTTCCCTTCCTTATTTCCAGTACACCCCAGTAACTTAATGCACTTTTTAGTAAAAGTAAGATTGATGACTTGCATCAGGGACAATAATTAAATGTCTGGTGGCGGATACCAGAAAGTAGCAGTAGACGAGGAACTAACTGAGATACAAGATACTGAAAATAACAAGACTACATCTGAGAAACTATCCGTAAGATACTCAACACTTTTCATCATTTCCACGTTTTAACGTTTTAATGTTTCTGGCTTTCATTTTGCTTTTTCTACTTGCCTGACTATTATACTGATAGTTAAATTTAAGCCGAGGCACCAATCGATTGAATTTTCAGGAAACATTACGAGAAGGATGGCAAGCATTCCTCGACTCACCTTCGGTTTTTATAAACCCCTTCACAGCAGCAACTAAAGCAAACATCACACGTCTATCTCGAACAAGGGAAAAACTTGATAACAATACCAAGCGTTAAGACTCGTAACTACGACCGTCATGATAAAATATTCAGAATTAAAACTCAGTTGTAGGACTTCATTATGAGACTATTTAGTATTTATATGTACGAGATAGCTCCGTATTGTGATGCCAAAAGAAATAATTGATGCGAATTGCGAAGTGTGTGATAAAGATATAAACCAATATAACCGATAAAAGGCAAATTGTGTATCTGTCTACGTGTTTTTAAAAGATAAATTGTATCACTGTTTTCATTTTATCACTAGTTACATCTTTGCAAATTGGTATTTACACCATCAAATCACAAGTCTAAATTACAAGTCTGAACTTACCAGTGACTGCGACTGATCTGTTCCTCTTCCCCTCCTTCAGCAACTCCAGAATCTGAGCTGAAGAGTCCACAAACTGCTCCGTAACATTCTTCACATACGTCGTCTTAGCCTTGTCCTCGTGTATACTCAGATTCTTCTTGTTTGCTGAGTTCAGACGTATTTATCGGCGTGGGAAATAAAAGCAATACGTGGAAATTATGTTTACTTCAAAGAGATTTCTTGAAATCATTTCATATTATATTTGAGGTTAAAATCAGCAGATGTTTTCTGTCTCTTGAAGAGAGCAGGATTTAAACCATCATGATCGTTGACTAGTGAGATATTTCAAAGTTTAAGTTTACTCACGATCGAGCAGATCCCGAATCTTCTCCATATAAATCTCGTAATAAGCAATCTTGATGGTGAACTCGGCTTTGTCCTCCATCTTTGCAATGTGAGAGAAGATGTCCCCCACCACACGTGGTATGATACCGCGTTTCCTCCCACTTAGGTCTCCCTGGAGAGTGTTTTTATTGAGAAACAGATTAACTACACACTTTGTATGGACTAGCAGGAACCCGTATAACCCTAAAATGGTGTCAAGACTCAAGAGACTAAAATAATTATTACCTATTTAATTCGCGTTTTTGACACCACTTGGGGGTCCAAATTTTGGGCTCTAAAACTTCTATTCCTTGGCCAATTTTTCATTTTTTCATACTGATTTGAAAAGCATAAAAGCATTTGACCCAGTCAAAAAAGTTTCAGTTGTATATCTTTTACGGTTTTTGCGGAAAGTCGCGTTAAAGTTGATGCCGTGGTGTCAGTAAAATGGCACAGATATATATATATCGTCTCGCTTTATATATAGTAAGATGGATCATCAAGGCAGCTTTTAGCAGATCAGATGAGTGAATTCAATAAGAAAGTTAGGGAGAAGTTTGTATAGACACATAATATGATGACCAACCACGAGTCAAAATAAATGTGTTTTGCTATCACAGTCCTAGCCAAGTCTATATCTACTAGAGTGAATACAGTACCTCCATTGTGTACGTCTTGCCGCTCGATGTCTGTCCGTACACAAATATTGTAGCGTTGTATCCCTTTAACAGTTCTGAAAAAAAAACAAACTATCACAAATCCAACTCTTATTTTTTAACATAAATTATCAAAGTAAGAAGAGACTTTACTGAAAGTAACACCTGGTATGTTGAAAATGACAGTGTTGCCTTGTAGCCAGACCACAAGGATTTATCTTATAGCCGAGAATATAGACAAAATTATCCTCAGAAAGAATTGTTAATGTTACTGCCACTTGAGGCCTCCTCAAGCTGGTAGCACAACGTTGACCCTTCTTTTGCTTCATTTGAATATTTAAAATAAGAAACAAAACTTTTTAAACAAGGGGAGAACTCTCCCTCTAAACACGAAGAGTCTTGGTAGACATTTTTGCATGACTTTTTAGAAATTGTCCGCTCGGAGGGCATAAGAAGTGAACCAACCTTGCACGATAGGTTTAGCTGTACTGTTGTAAACTGCTTCCTGGCTACTCTGCGGATCAAGGACGCTGTCATACGTGTATGGTTTCCCCTGAAAATTCGAAGTAAACTTTTATTGAATAACTTGAGTGGTTGAAATTGAAAACTGTAGTAAATTCCAACCATTAATAGGGCACCTAGGAAAATAAAACTGGAATGCTTGTTGACATCTACGCAATAATCACTAATTATAAAGCGCTTCAGTCAATTCCCAAGAGTATAGCTAAGCTATTTACTTCTGATTACAGAATACTTGGGGGGGGCCCCCCCCCCCCCCCCCCCCATACTTACATCTACAAACACTGAGCCTTCTCTGACATCGTAAATGTTTGATGGGACGCCCGGTCTAAATCTCGCTATTACTTTGATTCTGTCTTTCATTGCTTGACCTAAAAGAGTAAAAGTTGACACAATTACTTACGTGGGTCATGGAAGATGTAATTATATGTTCACAAAATTGCCGCCAACTACTTTGAATTCACAAAAACATGTCACGGAAACGGATAAAGAGTTAGACTTTTAACGCGTATAAGCGATTTGGAGATTGCGCGCGACGTCAAAGTCTCTGCTAATTTTCCCTATCGCGAGCTCGTTCAGTCTGAACAAGGTGGATCAAACTTGAACAGCCGCGCCAAACGGATTTTCAACTTTGGGAACTATGACATACAGTGAACATAGACTATTATATATAGATAGCTTATCCTTATATTTTATTCCCTATAATACTATTGCGTGCACCATAGATAGAGGGTTTATGTTAATTATACCAAGTGTCTTAATTACTAATTAGTGGTCTAGAGTCTAGCCCCTCTAAAAGATGGCTATTGGCTAACCGTTAAAAACTAGCTGAAATTAACTAGGATACTACGAAGAATACAAACAACGTTCATTTTAATTGAAAGGAAAGGCACCGAACATACTACCGTATTAGTAATAACAACGATGACGAATTCTATATACACTATCTTGCAAAAAAACCTTGTTGAGCTATAGCTTATAAGTTTGACAGTAATTGAGAAATCGGATACGGGAGGAAGCCTATCAATTACTAACGTAACCAATTTGTTTATCAATGATTGAAGACTTAATCTGCCATTATATATATGGTTATTGATTAAACTAGCTAAATATCTCTATGACAGTTTTGGTAAATGACGATCAGCCCAAAATTCAGGTAAAAATACGTACATGGTATATATTTCATACGTATTTAAAACAAAAATTTTCGCTATCAATAACCGCGTCAGCGGATGTTGTCAGTTTTCGTTTCGTAGCCGCAATAACATTATACACGTCCATTCTCCTTTGTTTCTGTCTTTTAAAACTTCCAAATCAACAAAAGCTGCAAACGTTAGTGATATAATTCTATTCATAAACTCACACAAAAGATCAACTCTTATACTTTTATAAGCTATTAAGTTATCAGAATCGTAATTTTTCGTATGTGTTATGTTACCATAACAAAAAGAAAACGGCACAAAAGATTATAACATCAGAAACATTAGCCAATTTATCAAGCACTAAATAATTATGCACGCGCAGCACAGAAATAGCACATCATAGCTCGATCCTCCTGATAAAGTAAACAATCATGAAATAGTGAGCCGTGTTTGACAAGCAGACAGAAGCAGAGTTAAGTACAGGGCAGATGGAGACAGTTGCTGTCAAGCATTAGTCAAACTTAGACAAAACAGAATTAGTTTAGTTCAGGGACCAGGGGGCTCTGGAATTGATAGTCGGACTGATAATCGTCGCAGTGAGAAGTCACGTGACATTGGTATCCTTCGGAAGTGAGTTTAACATGTATTATCTGTATCCTTTGGAGTTTGACATGTATTATGTAATGGTCATGGTATGCTGAATGCTCATCGATCGTATCTACCGTAGCAGCTAGAATATTCAGAAAAAAGATGTTCAAAGGATTGGCTTCTGATAGAATGGTCTATTGAAGGTATTGAACGAATTTTGAGAAATTAAAAATAAAATGAAGCCTGGAAACCTTTTTTCAAATAAAGTCCAGAGGTACAAATAACTTTAGTGAGTCAGCAACACAGATTTACACGCAGTCTGTCACAATAATTGATAGTGCAAAGAAATGATTGATTACTGAAACTAAAAACCACGGTTAAATGGACTTAGAATAACAAAGATGAAATGCGAACTTCACGAAAATGTGATACTCTGGTTAACAGGCAGGTATACACACTTATCCTAAAATGTATACATATACACCTTAAACTACATTAGTATCTACTCAAGCTGATACTAACTTAATTAATGACTACAAAATTTTGTGCAGACTTAGTCGGTAAACTTTAGCCTTACGGTAAGTAAATAACCCAATCGAACCTAATTGAACTAATAAGGCAAGGATATATAAATTACTATAATGTAGATCTCAAATATCATAAACAAGCAACTCAATCCCACATTTGTCGACCAAAAGCCAAAAGGTAATCAGAAATTATGAAATGCTGGCAGCAATAGTGTGCTCATTGCTCTTTTACAAATTGACATCTTCGATAATTATTCGGCATTGCCCCGTGAGAAATTGGACATCGACCAAAATCAACTTCAGTACAACATAATATAAATATTTGATCTATCTGTAAATTATCCTTTTGTTTCCATGGATACTGATTACTAAGCTGTTCCTTTACTATATGATACATGAGGTGTCAGATGGGTTCTTTTAAAATGTAACCATTCTGATTCTTACAAACTCGTAATGAACTCAGCACAGTTTACACTTCAAAGTAACACATCAAGTCAAGATACAAGAATATCGATTGTTTGCTGTGAGAAAATTCCAGCGCCCCTATCCTATTGGTCGGTACATTACAACATAAGCAAAGTACAACTATGATTGTGCACAGTTATAAAATGTTACTATAGTCCATCTTTCTACGATACAAGAATTATGAGCTCATGGCTTTGTTTTTATGCTCTCTATGGCCACTGTATAAGATGTTAGATGGGCGTTTGCCGATAAAGGTATCCGATATTAATGAGCCGATTGAAGTTTAGCGAAAGCAGGACGGTTAGCAAAAAACAGGACGGCTTTCAGAACAGTTCAGTAAAAGTGAAACTGGAAAATTCGATTCTACTCCGCCGACTTCTTTAAATACTTAACTGTAGGAGTTACCAATTCAAAACACGGTGTAACAGACTACAAATGTTAAAAGCAGGCATGGGAAAGTTTCACCATCGGAAGGAAACCCTCATCTATAATGGAACATTCCAGTCCTCCATCATCTCCTCCTACATCAGCAGATCACCCCCTCCCCCACCCACAAAACACAGCAATATGGACCCGGAATTCCACAGCACGCCATCTCAGCTGATAAGCAGAGATTGTCTGTAGTATAAACACGTGGGGGAGCAACGTTTAAAATGTGTTAAAATAAAAATAGTTAAAATAGTGCTGTGTTTGTTGTTGAAATAGAGAAGTGGGAGGAGGGGGTTGCAGCGAGACAGAGTTGGAGTTGTGGGCGTTCATTGGTGGTTTGGTTTGGGACCGGAAAGTGGGAGGATGGACATTTCCGAGATATTATCGTGATTTGTGAATAGATTCCAAGAAAGTTCTGGGAAGGAAAATAATATGCTGGAGCAGCTATCTGTAGCTGAATAGCACGGAGAAGCGACAATAAATGGTGCCATGTGTTATTCAGGTCACACACTGAACTTCATGCTTGGCTCGGGATCAAAAGGCCAGTTTAACTTCGGGGATATCTTTAAATTGGCGAATAAAGTAAAACGCCGTACGTTCAAGATAAACTGAATAAGACTCATTCATGTAACATATTGGTATTTACGTAAAACGTTTTAAGCAACAGTGTGACGGTCATGTTGCATGATCATTCTCTAATATTCGAATTTTAAAGCGGCTTATAAACCTGGTTTAAGGCGGCTTACTGAATACTATGATGCAATCCTTGCAATGTTGGACAAAAGATAAACTGAGGTTAACGCCCATCACCGTTAGTTGACGCCTTTATAAATTATATTATCGTTTATAGAATAAACTTAAACGTTAATTTAAATTACATTATCAAACTTCCTGATGTAGTGGGGCATTGACAAGATATTGGAGAAAATCCAAGATAAGAGAAAGGCATATAATAAAGCAAAACAAAGGTGTGTCAGTGGAAACAATTATTTCACTGTTCTTGAAGTATTATATTTTCAAAATGTAAATAATAACCAATTCTTTACATTCCGATTACCGATATGCTCAATACGCACAATATAATTTGATGCGCATCTGAACTGTTAATGTTATTGAGTACCACCAGAAAAGCAAATACGATGACAAATTAAGTTTAAAGTTACCAAATTACTAAAGGGCTTAGTAGAACCCTAAGGAAAGACATTAAAGTGGGCTCAATCGTCCCTAATCTGGATAATCATGAGATCTCTTAAAAAAAGGACGAGACAGCGACAAGGTTAAGTACCGAAAATTACTACAGTAGTAAAGATGTAAGTAAAATGTAACAGAAAGTTTTTACATCCAATCTACACAGCGGTAAAATTAGATGCCTTAAATTATTCAGCAGAATCGAAATAAAGGCTAGATGCAGAGAAACATAACCCTTGCCTAGTTCAGCTTGATTTAATTGAATAATTCTATAATTGTCCACTTTGTGACCCCTCAAACGACTCCTCCCCCTTCTCCCCCCCACTCACTCTCCACTAGTCTAACTATCTCTAAACATCCAATTGTCTTTTTAAGCCACATTGCGGCAAGCCGGTGGTTGGAAATGGTCACTCAGCTTCATTGATCTTGATACTTTATGCCTCTATGCAATGGAATGATTGACCGTCATTAGACGAAATTCTTTAAATATTCATATTGACTATCAGTTCGAAAATATCAGTCAATAACTGCACCGTGGTTTTTGTAAGAAAAGACATATATATATATAACGAAAAAAGCTCTATCTAAAAGAGGATGGTCGGAGTGAATTGGACCACATTCATATCTCACTATAAATCAGTAACACAAATTTTAGATTCTCTACTGTATACAGTAGAGATAAGTACAGTAAAACTACAATTTACCGCAAACCCCGATTTACCGCAAACCCCGATTTACCGCAACCATTTCCTTCCCCTAAATAGGACTTAACATACATATTATTACATAATGTAAACAATCAAAACTCCGATTTACCGCAAACCGGGTTTGCCAAACCCTGGCCCGATTTACCGCGGCTTTTTAGCAAACTCCGCGGTAAATCAGGGTATTACTGTACAGTGTACATACAATCGAAAAAATGATCACATCGAAAAACTTTGATAAACTTGAACTAACTCTGAGATCTTTTCAAAACTAAACGGGATAGTTTGCTTGTTACAGAATAAATATCGTACTTCTCGGCTCGGTGCTATGACTTCTAGAATGTTGTGCCGTCTTATGACGGTTTTTCGTCTGTTTTTATCCGTCTTTAAATTTAATACTTTAGACCTACAGCCGCACTACCTTTGTTTCGAATTTTACCGATTTTAAAACGTATGTTTCTAGAATATGAATTATGAAAACGGTGCCGGTACATAATAATATGTAACAGCACCGTATTCATATTCTAGAAATTATATTATAATTTTTAAAGCCTATATCTGCACCACAAATTAATTACAATTATTAAGAAGTATAAGCAACGTGATTATGATCGGATGGACAAGGAAACCGTTTGATCTGAAGCAACTCTCGTGTCGCAAAAAGAGAAGGAAAATAAATTTAAAGAACTTTAATTTCCTTTGTCGAATCCACGTTGTTTCGTTTCACCGACAATAATTGATACCTTCAAAGAAATATGCATGATCATTGATCAGTAAGATTGAAACGTTGATTAACCATTCCGGAAATCTCGTGCACACGAAACCTAATATTTAAAAATAGAGGAATGAAATAGTAAGCAGGACGTGGTGGATTACCACGTGAAGATTAACTTAAGATCACAGTTTTTTTCGGATGTGGTAAAATTTCATGATTTTTATTCCGCTTTCTTCAAACTGTAAGTGTTCATGTTGGAAAAAATTTAAACGAAAGTGAATGGCATAGCGACTAAAACAAGTGTCACAGCTTAAGACGGTTACAATCACATGATTACAAACAAACTAACATACGAATTACGAAGTAAGATCAAATTTATAATGACATGCCAAGGAATTAAGGAGACGTTATAATAACGTGACCAATAAATGCAAATGTGAGTTAAGCTACAAATTTATTTATGTCTAATTGTCGATCTGCGTGTCAATTCGAGATGATTTTTCATTATTCTACTTCAAATTACATTTTCAGTGCTGCATCATTATGATATGTTGCAATATTGCCAGGATTTAAAATGAAAAACACCAAACCTCCAACTTTTAAGGTATCCTCTTGAAAGCAATAAAAATTAGTAAATTTGCTGTGATTCAGACATTGTGAATGGATGATTAACTCTAGACGCACGGGACTACTATTGAATCCTCATTCCTCTAGGTCTGTAAAAGAATCTTTCACAAACAATGCCTATTCAGTATTCACATGATCATGTGAGTACAACATCTGCCCCAGCTATAAATTGATGTACTATAATTCCAATTTTAGTATTAAGCTATAAAAATTTACCTGGAGACTAGCGAGTGGAGCTGTGGAGAGGAGCCAACAGCTTCCGGTCACGTTCTAGCCTTTAGCTCTCTTAGCTGATGCTCATGAATGAGAACCGGTAGCTTTCATGTTTCAAGAAACCATACTAAATTTAAAACAAAAAATTGTTAGTACAATAATAATCTACACCATAGCAATTAGATAAGCAAAGAATTATTTAAAGTGAATAACTAATTCATTGTAAGATAAATTAACTTCAGTTAAGATAAGATCTGTGACGAAACTACGATATAGTAATCTCGTGGTTAAAATCGAACTTACCACAAACTTTTTGACTTACTTATAAACTCATGAATAATGATTCAACTTTTCAAAGGCAGTATATAAGGCCCGTATTCACCAAGCGTTTTAAGTATGAGGTCGCACTTAAAAAGGAGTTTAAGTGGCAAATTTAAAAATAGTATTCACCAAATTCACGATTAAGTGTCACCCTTAATTTTTAAGGGTGACACTTAAAATTAGACGCAATTCTGATTTCTTGTGAAGGAAAAAAAAAATTGTCAGAAAAGTATTTTCAAATTTGAGACCTGGGTAACTGAGAAGCAGCTTCGTTTCCTCACAGGGTGCGCACTATACCTCCCCAGAAAACAGCATCAAATTTGGTATGTATGAAATAATGTACAGGGGGGGGGGGGGGGGGGGGGGCAAAAGTCATACGTTGGCCTTAATAGCTCAGTCACTTAGTGCCCAATTGAAATAATTCTTTCTGGTATGACTTCCTACCACCACTGGTTCGAGGAATTTGTCAAATGGAAAAATATTCGTTTTCATTTTTTGCATATCAAGGTTCATTTTCGCATTTATTTGATGGTTTGGATAGTCGGATCGAGCCAAATTTTATTGAATGGTGTTTGACCATTTAAATTACGTTTGTCCTGAAGAAATGAGAGTTCTAGCTTCTCAGGTGACCGAGATATGAAGCATAACGAGTTTTTTCATTACGTGTGATCAGGTGATTGGGTTGAGGCTACATCCGCATTATGGGAATCGTGCAGAGAGCTCAATTGCGGTGTCGTCGGAATTGGGTAATAATTGAGTACCCAATCAATTTTGCTAACGAGATAAACAAATTGCTTGATAACTTTGTCATTTTAAATCCCCAAAAAAAAGAAAAAATCGAATTTTCAAATTTTTGTGACGGAATCCTCGAACAAGTAGGTACAGTATGCCATCTGCAAAGCAACAACTCTCAAATATAAAACACGGCGGTGGTATATGACCCAACGTATGGCTACTGACTCCCCCCCCCCCCTGTAGTTGTAACCTATTTCTCAGCTCTACGAAGTGAAACATTGATATAGGATTTTCTTGACTGATAATATAATGTATCAGTCAAGAAAGTACTATATTATTGGCACTGTGATGACGAGATTCTCTGATAAGTGCAGCACCAAGTCACCAACATCGATAAAGTGAAGATGGTATTTATCACTGTCAAATTAACCCTTTTAACAAGCAGGTCAATATGCTGTAACATATTTGAGTGCAATTTAATTTGTCGTCTTACAGGCTATATATAATATGAAGACGATTGAAGAAATCCAGCACTTTCAGAATTTTCTTGTTAAGTATCAACTTGCTTCCAGTAAGAAACACAGCTTTATAATTGTAGGCATTGAATGTGATGCAGTAATATGGGAGAATCGTCAATAGGAAAGACAGGCGATGTGATTCCGCACATCCTAAACTCAACATTTAAATTACTTACCAACGACACTCTATTCATACCAGATGTCCCAAAAAAGAAATCGAAGTATGCTACCATTTTATATTAATTTACTATTTCAGTAACACCACTTTGTTTAGTACACTGTGCTCTTGAAATTTTCTGTTATTGTAAATTGATTCCGAGGTATTCAAAGCATTTAACACTGCCAATTTATCACAGGATCCTTTCTGGGATTGAGGGATTTGAAAGAGCTAAACAGTGGGAAATACATACACTGTTAGCAACGCTGGCAGTTTTATCATTATTTGCCATTGTTGCTAATGGACTTGTTCTCATGGTTCTTCTCAAAAACAGGTAAACTGCTAAATAATACACTTCAAGTTAATTAATGTTCAACAATAAATTACAACAGAAATAATTTCTACATTGGATTACTTACTTCGTTACTTCGTTGAGTTCATCCGTGGAGCCGGAAGGGTCATCAGAAGATCAGATATCTGACCACCTGGATGGCGAGTAGTCAACCAGTGAGTTTTACCAACTGCAGCTGTAGCCGGCGACCGGAGGGTTGTCCGGTATCAAAGCAAGAAAGTTCGACAAACTATACTTAAACATGTCAAAGGATGTATCAGCCTTTACTGTGTGCGGCACTATGTTCCACAGTTTCGGTCCTTGGACTGCAAAAGACCTGTTGTACAGTGACTGGCAGGGACAAAAGGATTTCGCGGCATGTACGAAATCGCGAAATTTCCCATTCTCCGCGACAAATTTTATGTATACTTTAATGTACAGCCTGTTAAATTTCGCGGTACCGCGATTTTTGGCCAAAATAATCGCGAAATCCTTTTGTCCCTGGTGACTGGTTGCGTACGGAACTTGACTTGGACAATGAGGGTATGACAGCTACATCACCGTGTCTTGGGGTCACCTTGAACTTGATATCACAGCAGTTTGGTACCACATTATGGAGAATCTTCCACATCATCAGGATGATATACCTCTCCCGTCTGCGCTGTAGAGACATCAATTTAAGCTGTACAAGTCTTTCCCAATAGTTGAGATGTTGAAGACCGCCAATACGACTGGTGAAAGTTCTTTGCACCCTCTCTATCAGCTGTATTTCAGTCACCTTGGTAGGGCTCCAGGGTGGGCAGCAATATTCCAGTAGGCTTCTTACTAGTGACTTATAGAGAGTAGTCATTACGGTCTTGTCGCGAGTTTTGAACACACTGAATACCCAAGATAGCGTGCTCCTTGCTTTGGGTACCATGTTGCTGATATGTGTCGACCAGCTACGATCACTTGAGACCATAACTCCAAGATCTCGGACGTTTTCGACAGGATAAAGTATATCCTGACTGGATAGGTACTTTGTAACGCAGTGTTTCGGCAAAGAAGGGTAGTTCGGGGAATGAGCTCTTACTGTTATGGAGGTGATTTAACAGCTCGAACTTCTGCTCGTGAAGCTTCATGTTGTTGCTACGTGACCAGTTAAGAATCTTATAGATATCTTCTTGTAACAACTGACAGTCTTCAAAACAGCCAATCTGTTTGGAGACCCTAGTATCATCGGCAAAAAAACTCACCCTAGATGAATCCACGACTTGTTCTAGATCATTGATGAACAAGATAAAGAGAAGCGGCCCCAAAACGCTTCCCTGGGGAACACCACTTAAAACTTTTGCGATGTCCAAGTGAACTCCATTAAGCACCACTACTTGTTCACGATCAAACAGAAAGGACTTTATCCACTCTATTAGCTTGCCATGAAACCCATATTTTTTCAGCTTGTGGATGAGAAGGTTCAAGTCAACTTTATCGAACGCCTTATATTAGCGTAATCCAGATATATATAGAATCTGTATCTTCACCACGAGTAAACCCTTCGTAGATGTCGTCAAAATGGCCGCGCATTTGAGTCAAGCAGCTCCTATTCGCTCTGAAACCATGCTGCTTATCGGTCAAGAGACTGTTGGCTTCCAAATACTCCACCATTATATGTTTCCTTACCACTCTTTCATACACTTTTACAACGTTGGAGGTCAAAGTTACAGGTCTGTAGTTTCCAGCTTCACATCTACTGCCTTTCTTGAATAGTGGCGAAACATAACCTGTCTTGTAGAAACTTGTAGGAACTTGTAGATTAACATTAAACCGATATAAAAATGGCAACTCTTCGAATTATTTTTACAACTTGGTTGCTCATAGATAAATTTTTTGATTTTGTTCAAATGGAGAAAAAATGCGATTTGAACAAGGTGTTTTTTGAAGTATTGATATTATTATGAAATCTTTTTATTTCAGCAACTTGAGGAAAATGAAAAATCTTCCATTTATTATCATGTTGACGGTGTCGATATTGAATGCAGCCATCTATTACTCATACATTCTGATAACTTACAATTCTGACTTTGAACTGATGGACAAAGTTTGCCATTACTTTTACGGATGCTCTATTGAGGTAATCCAGAACATATAATACTATTACATACTTATGCAATCAATCCCAGATTTACTATGTCAACCTAATATTAAATAAACCCTGATTATTAACCAAGGAAATTATTTCACCCCAACAGTATTTAAATGCCAGAACCCTAACTTTCCTAGATATTTGACTTACGGGATATTTGCGAAACTCCTATAAAACTGGAGTTTAACTGTACATCAAAAGCGGCAGGTACAACAAAACAGGATAATAATAATGAATTATCTTATTTGCTTTATCCAGAATAGCACTAAGGACCTGAAATTAACACTATTTAGGTGCTATACAACGTATCGCTAACAACAATGCTTGGAATGTGCGTGGAGAGACTGATCTCAGTTATGGAACCTCTGTGGTTTAGGTATGTATATAATTATAATCCTTATAATGCTTTGATAGATAACATGATATTATAAGTCCCAAACATCTAAAAAATCCAAGACAGTAAAACTAAAAAATTCATTTTTTCTATCAATTTCAGCACAGTTTGGACGGAAAACAAATATTCGCTGTGGATAAATGTGGCTATGGTAGCACTTGGCACAGTGCCAACAGTTATTCCTCTAATGACACAATTTGTGGAATATCATCATAGCAGTAAGGATCTTTACCTGTTTTGAACTCTGCAAATGTATAATGACTGAAAAATAGTGCAAAACATACAATACCAATCATCAATATTGCATTGATCGGCTATTTGGTATAAAACTATAAAACATACTTCAACTTTAACGTGATGACTGAGACTAAAATATCAAAACAGGAAGTCGGATGTACTGTCGGATGGCTGGAAGTAATTCTGATTTGATGGCTTACATATGGCTGAGCAACTGTACTATCTACATACCATCTATCTTGGGCGTGGTTGCTGTGTACATTGCAGTTCAGGTCTGCAAATAATCTTTTATGTCGACAATTTACATTGATTTATTCAAATTTTATCCATACACCAGATTCCTACAAGTCAATTCAATCCTGGCCTACTAAATAAAGAACTACCTCAATGTTTTGCACAGGTAAAAGCTGCACAAGCTCGTAGGATGACAAAACAATTTAGAGAAGAATGCAAGATTGGAACCAATAAGAGTAAGTTTAAAATCATTGCCGATTTCTTCATTGTGAAAAGTTAACACAAGGTACATGACAATTTGACTTCAATTTTGTTTTATTTCCAATCAAACTAAAAATAACTTTTTCAGAGGTGGAAGCTGAAACAGGAATCAGTATGGACAAAATAAAGCAGTCCCTCTATAATGCAAGAATAACTATAATGCTGCTGTGTGTTTTTGTTGGCACCAAACTACCCATAGCTATTCTGTCTTATGCTCACTACTTTCACATGGCAAGTGATATTTTTTAATTTACAAATTATGTTCATAATATGTAAAATTAAAGCTTAAAGTTAAAACAATTAATTCAAAATTGATTAAATCGTGTGCAATACCCTAATTAATATTATACCTAGATACAATAAACCGTCTTCATATTAATTTTCAGAAACTCCCATTTAGCGTCCGAAACTGTGAGTTTGTTGGAAATGTCTGCAGATTCTTTTTCTGTGTGCTTACACCCTTCCTGCTCCCTTTGATGAATACACCACTGAGGAACAAAGTACGGGAATTGGTATGCAGGAAACATCATGACAGCAAATCACAAAGGAGCACTTCATACAGTAATGTTGAAAACACTGTGAGATCAGGAAATAAAACACAAAGAACAGGAAGAGGTGCCTCTCAGATCCACAGCACATCTGAAGGTGTATAATTGAGCACAGCACAAACTAAAGAAAGCATGACAGTTTTAAAAACATTCAAACTTGCGATATATGATTTCCAGTGGCAAAACGTTACCATTTGTCGCCCCCTCCCCCTCCATGCCAGCTCCCTGCTAAAATGTTTTTGTGCCATTTCAAACATTTTTTTTGGTCCCCCCGGCCCTCTATAGCTATTTGATGCCTCCCCCTCCCCCTTGCCAATAGCAAGGTCTGCATCTGTGTGGCCTTTATTATGCCACAGTTGATTGCATTGTATTGATATGATACTATAGATTGATATGATACTATAGATTGATACAATAACAGCATTATTAAAACAGCAAATGTCCTGTATCCTTGACTTCTAGAGGAATTGCAAATTAAACTGAATGCAATGATCATAACTAAGAAATAACTTATTTAACTACTGTCATGTAACAGAGTAGAAACAAGAAGTGAATCAGGTAAAATAATCAAAGGAAACACAAACGAAATAGTTATTGCGTTGCGAACTTAATTATTTTTCAAATAAACCCCTTTGAAGACAATGAAACAAGAAATTTCAATGAAAGAAGAAATTTAATTTTAGCACATTTTACAGAATAAAAAGTTGTAAAACAATTCATAAATTATAATGACCATTTGGTGTATGACTTTTTGTCCTTGAATGCTAGTTTGGTTTTGGAAGGACAGGTAACTAACGGGGCAAGGAATACCCGTGCCTGGAAGCATTTGTACACACCGAAATGCTAGTTCAGTTAAGTTTTTAGAGACTAAGCTCACATTAGGACTAGAAGAAAAATTGTTAGCATACATTAAGGGTTCTCAGTTATTAGAATATATATTCGCATATATTCACACTATATTTACATTACACGTTCAACGTGATATCATTATCAGTGCAGTGTGTACAACACCAACTACACCGATTAATTGCCAATCTGCGAAACATTTAATTATTATTATCACTTCGAAATGGCAGGGCCTACTCTCATGCTGTCTATTGGTGATGATTAATTCTGAAAAACTAGGGACAACTGGGGAATGATCCCAGAACCTCGACATATCGCGTATCTTGCTCTACCTATTAAGCTACTGACCCTGATTCTCAGAGCGAAATCACCACTCATATACAGCACAATTTCATGCTTTGTGCGGAATATCATTTATCAGTTATTAGAATATATATTCGCATATATCCACACTATATTTACATTACACGTTCAACGTGATGTTATTATCAGTACAGTGTGTACAACACCAACTAAACCGATCAATTGCCAATCTGCGAAACATTTAATTATTATTATCACTTCGAGATGGCAGGGCCGGGCCTACTCTCATGCTGTCTATAGGTGATGATTAATTCTGAAAAACTAGGGACAACTGGGGAATGATCCCAGAACCTTGACATATCGTGTGTCTTGCTCTTAAACCTAGCACTTATCCCAAACAAGTTTGGTATGCAGACGACTCTGCAGCAGGGGGTAAACTTGATCAACTCATGAAATGGTGGGAGGACCTAAAAGATCATGGTCCCATGTATGGGTATTACCCAAAGCCCAGCAAGACATGGTTGATAGTGAAACCGGAACCAGAGCATGCTACCAAAGCTAAGGAACTCTTTCCAGATGTACAGATTACTACCAAAGGCCACTGTTATCTTGGGTCATATATTGGACCAGAAGAAGGAGTAAAAGAGTTCATATTGAAGGAGACAGAAAGTTGGAAAGCAGATATTCTGGGGCTCGTCGATATAGCTGCAAACGAACCCCAGCTAGCTTACTCCGCTTTCATCTACAGAACCTCCAAAAGGTGTAACTTTGTTTGCCGTACCACCCCAGGTATTTCAGATCACCTAAAACTCTTGGAATATTGTGTCAAGGAAGAATCTATACCAGCCATTATCGGCAAAAGTTTTGTGCCTGATCAGATCAGAAAGATAGCTTCACTTTTCGCAAGAATGGGCGGTCTGAGCATTCCAGACTGCACATCAACAGCAGAGATGGAGTACTCTAACTCAGTAAATACTACAAAACAGCTCACGGAAGCAGTTTTTCAACAGTATACTACTTTACAACTAAACGAGGAACTGCAACATGACATCATAAACGAAGTAAAGAAGCATAAGGAAGAGCTTTACAAACACCAACATGAAACTATTATGAATGAGGTATCACCATCCACAAAAAGGCAAATAGAACTCCTTAGTGAAAAAGGAGCATCCATTTGGTTATCCACACTCCCTCTAAAAGCATGTGGGTATGTCCTCAACAAACAAGAATTCTTCCATGCCCTCTCACTCAGATATAATCTTACACTGTCTACAGCTAACAGAAGTCCCATATGTGTATGTGGAAAACAAAATCATATCAACCATACTCTAAACTTGCAAAATCGGAGGCTACGTTTAATAGCATACTATATAATAATAATAATAAATACTGCTATCTTGGCATAATATTCCACAGAAATGGATCGTTTACAGCAGCAAATACTGAGCTGAGGGCCAAGGCTCTCCGTGCTCTCTATGGCCTCAAAGGCAAAATAGTTAAGGATGCCCTCTCACACCGTGCCCTTAATATTCTATTTGACTCCTTAATAAAACCAATCCTGCTTTATGGCTGTCAAGTCTTATGCCCCCACTCAAAAACCATGAGATACCTTTCAAAAATAGATGACAAAGCCAACCCCCAGCATACCTTGAAGTACATTGCACAAGACCACTATGAAAAATTCCACCTAAAGTTTATCAAGTGGTCTTTGTCTGTACATTCAAAAGCATCAAATATAGGTTGCTGGGGCGAAAGCGGGCGCCACCCCCTATTCTTTGAAGCCTGCAAACTTGCAATAGATTACTATAGTCGCCTTGAAAACACTGAAAACGAACTAGTCTGTGCTGCATTTCACGAACAAATCATGTTGGGACTTCCTTGGTATACCAACATCTCAAAGCTTCTCACCAAATACTGTTATAATATATGAGTTCTAAGATTATTCTTTGTATTATAAATATATATTATAGCTAATGTGAGAAGGTGTCACGGTGAAGAAGAGGTAAAGAAGAGATCCAACGAGGAAGGAGTAACAGAAGGTGTGTTAGAGTAACAGTGCTGTGTAGAAGGTGTACCAGCCTGCGAAGTCCTTCGTGGATAGTGTAGTAGAACACCGGTAGGTTCTAGTGTAGGTTATAGTTTAGGTTTATTCTTTTATATTGATTGATGATAGTTGTAGGTTTATATATTTCACGTCACCCCCTCATCTTCCTCAAAATCTAAGCTCTCCACCCAAATCAGTCATAACATGAGGGAAGAATTCGTGAATACCTGGAAAGCTGCCAAGGCCTCCTCGCCAAAACTAGGATTCTATAACTTAATTAAACATGATTTCGAACCAGAGGCATATCTACAAATTATCAAAATACCTGATGTTCGAAAAAGTCTGACAAGGTTTCGTATCAGCTGCCACAACCTCTACATCGAAAGGGGCAGATACGAAACCCCCCTTGTACCAAGAGAAGAACGTTGGTGCACCTACTGCTTTTTCAGCAAAGGGTTCAAGCCTATTGAGGACGAAAGTCACGTATTGATTGACTGTATGCTCTACTCCCCAGTTAGGGAAAAATTCAATTTCCATCCCCTAAACATTACTGACCTAGTCGGTTTGCTCTCCAACAAAACTCTAGATCCTACCACACTCACTGCCACAGCAAGAGCAATCCATTTAATTCTCTCTGTGAACGAAAATTATACAGCCTATTATAAGAGCCCAGATTTCCACTCAAATACTGGCAAGTGCATAATGCTATAGGACCTTAAAATAAGATTGAACCATACAAACTCGATTTATCTATTTTTCTAAAACTAGCCCTTATATAACATTTCTAAATTATCCCTACACACTTGTAAATAATTAGAATTATGTAACTTAAATTATTTCAGAATTACAACTATTGTGTACTCAATAAAGTAATTATCACTTTTGTATCCTTGTATCCTTGTATCCTACTACACTAATAGCATACTTTTTTTTTTTCCAAAAAATTATTCAAACAATATACACATAATATAACAATTACCCTATATAAAAATTCAATAGAAATTCAATAGAAAACTAAATAAAATTTATAAACACCCTTTAAGTAGTATAAGTAAGCCAGTTTAAAGAACTGGCTCCAAATTTATATCTAATTCTGCTATTTTTACTGCACTACTACTTTTCAACCCTCTCTCTCCTCTAAGAGCTATGATTGTTGTTATCAATAGATCAAATCTTACTCTCTTCCTAATAAATGTCATTGCCTCACTATATCGTTGGCCTGATTTCCTAGATAGTTTATCCGCTAATTTCTTGAAGAACTTATTAGCTTCCCTTCCCATACCCCCAGTGGTTGATAGGACTATCGGTGTAAACGTCCCATGTTTGACTTCTACAATCCGTTTGTTGTATATAGCATACGTTTGTTTAATTTGCTCTCTTATCTGCTTTCTTATCTCGCCTTGTTTAACGGTGAGATTTTGTGCCGCTCACCTTGTGGCTTAGCCTTGCATCATGGCAGCTGTGGACGACACCGAAATTGACAATACTATGTTTAAAGCTGAGGATTGGATGACCTATTATATTAAGAGTGCAGTGCCCTTGTAAGGGATTATTATCATTTTTAAAAATATATTTGTAGATTTAAATTGGTCATTAGAACCACCCGGGCACCGTCCCGGTTTAAAATCACTTAGACACAATTCACTCTGAGATACAAGAGCTGAATTCCTAACCACTGTTTGCAAAGACGTTGAAACAGAAACTCAGCTTCAATTCTCTCCGTTCCTCACACACTTAAACTATCTAATGGAACAAATAGACAGGATGATGCAAGACTGGACATCAGTGCGAGATCGTTCTGGTCGCCGCTGGACAGGGCACTCACAGATGTAAAGGTACTTCACCCTCATATATCAAGCCCAGTCCAACAGTGACAAGAGCATCTCGCAGATGTACCAATCTCACGAGAAAAAACAAAAACGTGAGTACAATGACAGAGTCCTCAATGTAGAAAAGGCTACCTTCACGCCACTGGTGTTCAGTACTACAGGAGGAATGGCGTCTGAGGCTTCACAGTTCCTATAACAACTCGCTGAAAAGATTAGCCTTAAGAAAGGCCAACGGTATTGTGAAGTGATGTCATTTGTCAGACGCAGACTGCGTTTTGATTTGTAGCGCGAAGGATTGCGCGAAGGATTGACATTGGAC